CTCCGGAGGAAACTCCTTTGCTGATGTCGAAGCTGTGCCTTTGGAAGCTGGCACAGAGAATTTTCTTGAAGACGTTTCTGAGTGTTCTATCGTCTTCTCTCGAACGTATTTCTTTCCTTTGCTTGAAGTGCTTACCTCTGGGGCAAGCTCGATGGGAATTTTGGCCTCGGGACCAATTTTTGCTGACCTGATAGGCCCAGAATCAGTCATCTCTTTATCGTGAAGGTTTGGAGACTTCCCTTCGATGAAGGCCTCACTCGCAAACATGCGTGAAAGTTTTGCGCGAGGCCTGGTATTTTTGCGGGAGCCCTCGGGCGGACTCTCGCGTTGTCCGACACTGATTTGGGGAGCTTTTTTCGAACAATTGGCATGGTAAAAATGCCAGCGACTCTATCACAATTTATTGATGAATGCGATGAGCGCGAGAGGGAGGGAGAGGGGGAAAAAGGGAAGATTCGAAAATTCTAATTTAAAAGAACTGTGGTTCTTTTTGTGAGCTAGCACGACGTTAAATTGTAGTAATATTAAGTTAGGAGGCCTTCTGTAGCTGTATGACTGTAGGGAAGACAAGTGAATTATCACAGTGGATGGAGGTCAGATAAAATGAAAAGCGATAGTGTTGTATTCACAAGAGTGATATAGACTCAAAGCTGCTGTGCACAAACTTCTTCCACGCGACTGATCTGCATGAGTAGCGTTATCGACGCGACTCCTAAGTTTGACCTTAACTCACTCGGCTAAGTCTTACACTGGGAGGGCAAAACTGAACACCTGTACGCGATGTCCTCTATGGACCTGGGAGTGAAATATTCTCCCAGAGCCAAGTTCAGTCATATTTCTCAATATCAAAGAAGTTGGCCCCCAAGGCAAAATTTCAAATTACTCCACCATGTCAATCTTTCACTCCCAAAGGGTCCGATTCTCAACTAAGCTTCATCAAGTCTACAAGTACGACCTAGTACATCCTCGTTTCAATGACCACACCTCTCGTCGACTTTCTCTGGCATCAGCCGGTCACCAAATACACGCCCACGCCGATATTTATACCCGACAGAGGAAGCAAAGCGTGGAGCACAAATCTGGGAGATAGCTCTTTGGAATGGACGTGAGAGAGATCAGGACAAGTTTACAAGATGATGCAGAAGAGGGATACGTTTTCGACGGGCGTGAAATATCGAATTTTTGCAAGAGTTTTACGAATTGTGCTTTGTGCGCGCCAAGACTTCGCTTGCGAGAGTGCAGTTGACACTATAAAAACTAGCAAACGATGGAAGGTGTTGTGGTCCGCCTCCTGGTGATGTTCTCTGGTATAGTTTGAGTCGCCTGGGCACATACTCCACTTGGGAAGGAGACACCTCAGATCACATATTGCGCGGAGAAAAGTTGAAAGATGATGGAGGCATGTCTGGATAACTCAGGGTTTTTGAGACGTTCCCCTGGGTGGGTATTCACGGATGAGTGTTGACTTCGGGTGAAGAAAAAGCCGCCATAACTTCGCAGTGGTACTTGCAAATGAAATCTGAGGCATGAGTGCTCCTCTTGTAAATTGAGTCATCTTTTCTGTACTATTCTGTGATATTGTGTCATAGCTAGATAGCTGCATACGCAATTAAAATCTGATGAAAAAAAATAGGTGTTACACCGACAAGACACTCCTTGGCATTTATCAAATAATAATAATTAATCTTAGTAGGGCCCAAAGCAGTATTGCAGTTCAGATAAGAAATGAGCACATTGGTCTCAATTCTTATCTGTATCGAAGGTAAGTCCCCGGAGTGATTAATCCAAAATGCCAGTGTGGATATCCGTCTCAAAATGTCAAACATATGGCCTTGGCGTGTCCTCAGAGGACAATGAGAAGAGGAGAGGTGCTTCGAAAAGCAAAAATCAGGTCGTTTGCGGCAATGATGAACAGCCCAGATGACATAGAGAGAATTACAAAATGAATCCTGGCAAAAGGCTGGTTTGAACAATTCCGGCTGGCAGGAGAAGTAGAAATCGCACTGTACGAAAGGATAAGACGGATTTCACACTGTAGAAACGGTGTAAACACATTTCCTGTAGGAAACCTCGGGAAACCAATAGACACGAGACAGAAAGTTTTGGGGGTTTTTACCGAATTTGGTTTCCTACTGCGTAAATGTTGTAGCTAGATATATCTGCTTGGGCCCATAGAGTGCCTGAACTGGCTAAATGAAATGAAGTCAAATCAAATAATTATTACAATACTTAAATCCAAGACTTTAATCCCTACGCCATTCACTTGTGAGCCGAGGAAGACGAAGGCTGATCAATTGTCAGTGGTGCCCTCTTCTAGTCTGGGAGTGAAATACTTTCCCAGAGCCGAGATTCAGTCACGATAAAAGGTGGGATGAATTTTTTTCGATGAATTTCGGCTTGAAGGAGTTGTACTTGGTATTTTGGTCGAAAAATCAGTCAGCAGAGATTTCACAAATGTAAGAAAGTCTACTAATAACTCATTACCACCAACACACGATTCACAAATAAACCAAGGTCTGTCTGGGGGTCGTATTCAAACATCCGACATCTCTCAAACTCCTATGTATTTGCGACGAAGCATTTCTCAGTCGATCCTATACCTGCGACCCACCTCCATACTCGTCCGATCACCTACCTACATATGCCCTAATGAGGAAAGTCATGATGGAAACGGGACGTATACAAAAGAATGAAATAAAAGAGAATGTTCACCGAGGGGACCACACAAATCCCCAAAGACGACAACAGCCCGACGGTACACTGTGGAAGTGCAAGGCTAGAGCAACAATGAGATCCGGCACTAAATTTATATTTCGCAGTCAATGAGGATGTCAAGGGCTTAGGCGCATGATGGCAAAGTCTGAGGAGGAATTGGCGCTTCGGCGCGTCAAAAGAGAATTCTTTTGACGGTTGGGCCTGTCATGATTCAATAAACGGGTGAAGTCTGAGGTGGGACGAGGTATATCTATACTTCACGATAGTTAACCTGATCCGGCCCGGCTCCACTCGTGCTTGAGCTCCAGTAGGAGAGCGATAGGTGACATATACTTAGCACGCAAATAAATAGAACAGAACCTATGAATCGACACGAACGATAGGTCCAACGTTTAGTAAGAATTCGTCAATTTTAAATATGCATGAGGTTACTTTGGACTTCAATTCGGATGCAATTATCCTTGGCTATCCCAGATATGCAGAGCATACTGAACCGTTACACCGGCACCAATGGAAGACGAGGAATTCGTCTTTGCCGTCTTAGTTGTAGGTTGTTCGTATATAATTAAATCCTCTTAGATACAGTCTGTCACAAAGAAGATGCATGATGCGAAAGCGAGTTGAGGTCCTTATCGGAATGAAGATGAAGGTGTTGCTCAATCTTCGACATGTAGACTCTATAGTGAGAGCTTGATGTTCGCAAGGGATAGTACTGGTGGATGGTGAGTATTTGTCCCTCTCATTAGCGAAATGGTAGGAGCAGCTATGATCTGTTAACAAGTCTCCAATTACACAATCTTATTATGATCAGTTTTCTCGAGATGATATAATCCCACTTATTGCTATATCATTATGGCTCCAGAGTCCCAGATGTAGAAGATTTCAAACCCCGACGCGAACGGTGCTAGCATTTGAGTGAGTGAGTATTTGTTGTCCTAATAAGTCTATGAATATGTATGGACATATAGGTCCTTTCTGCCTACAGGCCAGGAATATCTATGCCTCGGGTAGTGTACTCCCTCCTATGCCTCCCTCACGACTTCTTTCCAGCAGTAATATCCCCACAGGTCTTCATTCGAGTACACACTAAGAGGAGCCGTTATTCCTTCATTATCTCCCCTATCCAGCCAACGAAACGATGGCCATTTGCGGGTGTGTAGCTGCTGGGAATGGTCTCAAAAACCACTGGGTGCAGGGCTCTCCTATGACGAAGAGGCCGGCCAGCTGGGCGCAGCAGGCCTGTGTATAGCTAAGAGTGTCTCTCAACCTTCCTAGCCTCCTCCTTTGATTCATGCCGCAGGACAAACCGAAGGTCGTGAAAGGATGTCAGAAAAGTCTTGGTCGACAGTGACAGTCGTGAAGGAGCCTACCCTAGCATCCAAAAGTCGTTACAGACGTGGGGTCGTCGAGTAACTCATGTATTTCAGATGCCTTCCTGGCTAGTAGATTCGGAGACATAGATTGATAGGGACAATACAATTGACGAGCCGAAATCTGCTTTTCTTGAGGGCGGAAGAGTCTTCTAATTTGCTTTCGTGAGCTTTTTGTTCGCCCGCTGGTGGGTAGCACACGTTGTGATATAACGAGGGATTCTCTGACTACCGATGTAGCGTTTGGTGCCGTATTATCTTTCCTCATTCCCAGCATCGTTATCGTTATCGTCATCTGGCCGTCTTGTGTGTTATAGGATGCGTATCTTTGGCGGAGGGGGAGATAAATATGCTCAAAGTTGAATGTTCTTACTCAATCTCTCGTCACTGCAGACTCTACAGTGCTAGGTGGGTTTCGTTGGGGATACCATTCTCGTGTGCTGAGTTTAGTCCCCCTGCCAGCAACATAGCTTATTGGTGAACGGCATAAACTGTTGAGACCCCTATTCTGATCATAGGAGGGCTGAAGTGGGTATGACAATGCGTTTACTGAATTACTTGCTTTTTTATGTAGCCCATGCAAGCCAACTCAACAAATATAGCTCTAGTTTCTTGTGCACTACCGTGTTAGGCAATTGGCAGCTACCGCACGCCTATGGAGCTTGAACATGATTGGGGCCGAGCTGGTTCAGGTTCATTACCATATAAATGCAATGAGCCTCATCCATCCAATGTGTTGAGTCCCATCGAGTCCCACTACCCTGAAGCCCGCTCTGTGTACGCCGTAACGCAAATTATATTTCACCATTTGTTTTTCAAGATAAAACTAGTGTTCGCACACACACATCCTGTAGTTAGACAATAGGATTCACAAATACCCGAAATAGGGCCCATTACATTTTTTCTGGAATCGTAATGGAAAATTTCATGATGCTTCCACCTTTCATCCAAAGCCTTTTTGTCCTTATCGGAGCTCTATACCTGGCAACTAAAATATTCAATTACACCCGCCTCCTTTTTAGTCTATTTGTTCTAAATGGATATGATGTAATACACCAGCCTCTATGGAAATGACTCAACTAAATTTAAATAGCTTCGAAAGTATGGTCCAAGGGGTACGTACGCCGTCGTTACAGGGGCTTCAGATGGGCTAGGAAAAGAATACGCTATCCAACTTGCCCAAAAAGGATTCTCTTTAATCCTGGTTTCTCGTACGGCTACAAAGCTTGATGCACTTGCGGCTGAAATCACCAAAAATTATGCGAGCTCATGTGTGAAAGTCAAAACCTTAGCAATGGATTTTTCAAAAAACAAAGATGAAGACTATTCTCGACTTTCAGAATTAGTCGAGGGGCTCGATGTCGGAATACTGGTAAATAACGTCGGCCAAAGTCACTCTATTCCGGTACCCTTCCTCCAGACACCGAGCGAAGAAATGAGAGATATTATCGCGATTAACGTCATGGGTACTCTAAAAGTGACGCAAATTGTGGCGCCAGGGATGGTTTCACGAAAACGTGGCCTTATTCTTACGATGGGATCGTTCGGTGGGCTATTGCCAACTCCTTTGCTAGCGACATATTCTGGCTCCAAAGCTTTCTTGCAACATTGGTCAACGGCACTAGGGGGAGAATTAAAGTCATCCAACGTCGACGTGGAGCTTGTTATCAGTTATCTCGTCACATCAGCTATGTCAAAGATAAGAAAAACAAGTTTACTGATCCCGAACCCGAAGACCTTTGTCCGAAGCGTTCTAAGTAAGATTGGACGCAGTGGCGGAGCCCAGGATATGGCTTACACATCCACACCATTCTGGGGCCATGGAATAATGCATTGGTGGTTAAACAACACTGTCGGCCTTGGTACAAGCTTGGTTGTTGAAAAGAACAGACAAATGCATGAAAGCATCCGACAAAGAGCTCTCAGGAAAGCAGAACGGGAAGCCAAGCGTTGCTAATCTTCTCATGATGAAATTTTAAAGGTAACGCTCCGGCACAACCCCTAGATACATAACTTTTAGGGGATCAAACGAACTCCCTAACCGAATTACAGCTTATTACTATAAATAGCTTCTTGCAGCTACTTAAACTAGTAATTTGTAAATAATAGATATTTAAATACGACATGATAGCGGGAAGTATGACTCGCTTTTCAGAGATGATAGTGTCAACTCATTAATATCTTCAATTAAAATTGTTTAGGCTTTGCGGTGGTTAGTATGAACCTAGAGAACTAACATCACTTGAGTTAACCTTTCCTAGAATTTTCGATGAAAAATATTGCCAGGATAACTGGTACCTAGAGGAAAATAATGTTTGGAGTAGTAACAACATACTGAGAAAAATTCAAAAATTTAGATACAATGTTGTAAACTGTATTGTGGCGATCATTTTATCAAGATGGCCAACTGTAATAATTAAGTTTTTCTTCCTTAAAGTCCAAGATAATGGTACTTTACAATGATAGTTGTAAAAATTCCAATGCATGATTTAGTCTGGATCCGGCTTAAAATCGGAAATACGATTTGCGAATAGATACTGGACTAGTTGTGACACGCAAATGGGTTGGATGGTGCAGTGGTATACCATCCAGGCCGTTCTCCCAAGTAGATTCCGGGAAGCTTGAACACTAACCCCACTGAAGACGGGAGAAAGCTGGTTCGAATCCAACAATGCTCACACACCACTCTCTCTCGCGGAGATGTTGTCCTTGTGGGACGATGAAAGCACACGCGTACAGCCACAGGTTTTTCACGCTTCTCCCCGCGGTAGGTATGCACGGAAGAGGTTATACGTCGCAAGGGTTAGCCTCGAGTGGTATCTGCAAATGAAATCTGAATGTGAATTTCCTAGACGTCAAATTGAGTTGCCCTACTTAAATTACGCATCTTCCAATAAAATCTGTATCGGACTTCAGGCGCCAAGTCTGGACAAATAATAATGTACTTATATAAGCATGTGTGATGCGCAAGGTCCTGATCAGGGGCAGTGTTAGGTTTTACAGCGCTATGGTGGACTATTCCTTTGTTTTAAAATCATTTAATTTGTATATTACTATCCAGCTATAACTCATGATCATTGTCATCACTTCCAATAATTTTCGAGTATTTCCATCTTCCTCATCTCTCTCCCGCGCTCGCCGCATACGTTCAACAAAATGAGATCGAGCTTCCGGCAGTCACAGCACGCCACCTGTTCATAAGAAGGATCCCAGCGCTACGTTGATCAAAACAAGAGCCCGTCTGAGAACTTGATCAAACAAGGCACCTTGCCAATCTCCAAGATACGTGGAGATGGGCAAGTTCTGAATCGAAGGAAAGGAAAAAGCCCATCCTACCGTCTCTGCGCCCGATACTGACATCCTCCGTCCCCTAAGACATTGGGTAATCATCCAAACCTCCTCCAACCGTATCAAAACCGTCAGATAACGCTGCATCAAAAGCAAAATGTCCACCCGGGCTTCGTCCGATTCTTGAAGTCGAAGAACGAAGCGTCGCCAACACAGCGACAGATCTGGGACTCTGCTCCGCCACCATAAGCGGCGTCGAAGCAACATTCCTACCATTAACAAACGAGTAAAATAGGTCATTCGTGGACTTTATGAGAGTCTACCTACGCGCAGCTATTGCGCGACACATGTCCTCAGGCCTGGCCTCCACGCCACACGTCCTCCCTCCTCACCCGGCGAACCCAATCCCAAGGGCTCCTGACGCTAGGAGCAAGATCACACCCAACGCCCCAGCACAGCCTTCAAAAGGCACATGAGCCACGTTGGTCAAAAATAGGATGCGACAAACAGTTGTCCCCTAAATTATAACTATGCTGCAAACTGCATATTCAACCCAAAAAATTGAGGATGTTATTATGAAGGGCGATAATAGAGTAGTCGAGATCAAGGCGTCGCGTGGCCGGCAAAGACGAATTCTTCACCTTTCAGTGGTGCCAGTGTAATCGCTCAGTATGCCCTGCATATCTGAAATAGCCAGGAAGAATCGCATCCGAATTGAAGTCGAAAGCCACCTCAAGCACTTCTCCATCTGTCGACTTCTCGACAATGCCTCTCTTACTATACTCGTTTGAGTCCTCAACCTCTCTCTAACCACGCATCATCTCGCCTCGACGACCAATAATGAAGTTGCTCCAATTGCATACAGGAGCTTGCCCCTTTAATCTCCAGCCATCTCTCACTACATATTTACGACGCTATTCATACCCGCAAGGAGGAAATCAAGTCGAAAAATACAGAGCCTGAGTCTTGGCTTATCGGGGACTGTTGCTCTAATGGGACAAACAACTTGAGGAAGAATAGGCGGCTGAGACGTGGAGCGAAAGGTCGAACAGGTCTCTGAAGAGCATGCTGAGACGGATATTTTTGAGAAGTTTTCAACTTTGGATTTTTTGTGGGCGCCAAGACTGAGGTTTCGGCAAATTAGCCAGGTGGTCTTCAATTGTCGATGAGTCAACGGCACTCCCCAGCGCCCTGGACGACACGAAAGAGTTTGGGCTAAGCTACCAAACAGCAATCACGCTCTGTCATGACTTTTCTAATATTTCAGCACGACTTTTGGGAAGGAGTTGGAAGGAGGCTAGAAAGGCAGAATGTGAATTCTCCGAGGTACCCACAAGTCTGCAGCGCCCAGCTGGCCGGCCTCTTCGAACGCTTCAGAAGGGGCAGTATGTCTTCGGATTTATTCCTAATGTCGGTATTAGGAGAGCTCCGCACCCAGTGGTTTTTGCGATTTTTCCCGCCTGCCGTACACCCGCAGAATGCCATCTATTCGTTGGCTGGAGAGGGGAGATAATGAAGGGAAAAGGGCTCCTCTAAGTGTATGATCAAATGAGGACTTGTGAGGGACGGTACTGTTTGAGGGGAGCTGTATGGGAGGCATATAAGGGGATATACTACTGGTATAGGTATCCTTGGCCTGTAGGCAGAGAGCACCTGCATGTCCTGCATAGTGATGGACTCAGACAAGACAATAAAATGAATTAATAATCATCTCGCTTCCTCGCATATCAAACGTGATATCGTTCTATCTTACACATCTTATTTAAAACTGATAGAATTTAGAATAATTGGGGCTATCAAATAGACCACGCTGTTGGTACAAATGTGACCACAAATTCTGCACTTAAATTCATTTCGGTAGTTACTTGAATCAATGCACTCTATATCCTCAATGACTGAGGGCTCATTATTTCCTTAATAAAAACAGCCATTTAATGTCCCCTGACTTTTGTTAGGATCTATTTGCTACTGGAGGCTTCTTTCTATGTGCATGAGTAACGTGAGCTCCATGGAGTTGGCATCTTTCTCATGCTTCTTGAAGCTGAGCAGGCGATTGAGGACATTAAGTGCTTGATTAATCATAGCATGTGTCTCAGCTGCCTCTTCATCCCCGTCATCCTCGTCATCCTCCTGCTGTGGCATAGTATGCGCAGCAATGGTATCTATAAGCGTGTCCTCCTCCTCTACGATAATATTGTCGTGGTCGTGTCAGTAATCTTAGTCGCCATTTAAGAATGTATTTGCATGAGGTGGATCCAGACTTCTACCAGGCCTAATGAGTCATGTGGAGAAGTGCATGGCATACTTGGGATTAAACTAGGGAACAGTTGTATATGCCTCGATTATAAGGCACATAACAAAATATAGTCAGGCTCAAGCCAATGACAGTAGTCATATGATCATGTGACAGTCATTGGATATAACAATAAAATGGCGACGGCGACATCGGTTTACCAAATATTGGTGATTTGTTAGATTTACTGTGAGAACGTAATGCTTGAGCGAAGAAGACATTGTTAAAGGGCGAATACCTTTATATCGAATATCGTTATAACGAGTCCGCACTGTATTGTCAATCTATCTAGTTCCTCTGCCTTTTCAGGTTCGGGGCGAGATATGTGGATCCCGTCCAAGATGATGCAGGCTGTTTGGATCGCTCCGCACTCTTCTGGCTGAGATTAGATGACTCCTTAAATCTCTGGGTGACTTTGGCTTATGCCGTTGCTTTGCCCTGATCCTGCCAATGAAAATAAAACCCTCTAGCATTCATACCATCTCTTTATGCATGTCCCTGTCTAGCTTTCCACACCTCACTTCGAACAAGAAACTTCATTTCACAGTCTAGGGCCTAAATAATCTAACAACAGATTACGGGACGATAACAACTGACTGGCTGATATGTGGTAAGCTATTATCCAATATCGGAGTTAACCATCAACCATGTGTATAAGAGAGACTATTCCAACTTCAAAGTTTGTTTTCAGATCAAGAGCTTCCCATCTCATTGGAAGAAGACTACTTCATACTCACATTAAATTCCTGCTATTCCTGTTTTCTTAGAAGCCGATTAATCTTAAACATCAAAATTATCAACAAATCCAGTCGTTCTACCAAATATAAGCCAAAATAGTTACCTAAAACAGCTTCAAAATGAAAATCTTCGGACTTATTTCTTTCGCCGCCATTTTAAATCATCTGACGCCTGTACTTGCCGCTTCGAGTTATGTTTGTGGTCAATCACTTATTCATAGATATTACATACAATACGCTTTTGATCGTGCTCACGAATTGAAAATTCAAAATAACGAGCAAAATTACGAAAATAATGAACTTTTTGCTGTAGGAAATTACAAACATCAATATGAAGAAGATAATGGTTTGCAACCTTATTCTAAAAACCCCATCTTTTCCTACTAATACTTGTGTCCAGAAATTATCGATGTCACAGTCAAAGTGGGAGGTACAATTAAAAAGGAAATTCTTTGGGTAAAAGCTTTGGTTAAAGGGGAAGAGATTGAGTGTAAGCCAGCAACAAAGGAGCCTAAGCAATCCTCGGCAGCCTCTTGGTCTAGTTAGTATGATTTCTAGAAACGCAAAATGAGATTGTCCAAAGATGGCAGACTTGAGTTATCATAGAGTGTGTAAGAATTCACAGCACAAATATGCGAGGGTCAGGTGATTGTAAAGAACCGTGCCAGATGGAGAAGGCGATTACCCATCAAAAGAACTCATTTATCCGTTCCACATCAACAATCATAGATTTATGGCTTAACATATATCTCTATGGTCCCTTGTCACCCGTCCCAAGCATATGAGCCTATTTTATTACGTTCTTCAATGCTCCAATTCGCCTAAATGGTCCCACGTCCATGTTAATGGTCTACATCTTGCCAATGAACTGTACCCCAATGCAATAGTCTGGGAATAACACAGAATTGTTTATGCAAACCTGCTTAAACTTAATGCTATTGTGCACCACAAGGATGTTATTGTAGACTGCTGAACAAACAGGAATAGCTGCGCAATAATTGGTGGGGTGACGGGGCTTGACCCTCAATATCCATTGGTAAACATTGAATATAACAACAAACAACTTTCATATTAAAATTTAGAGCTTTTCATATGGTTTTAGCGGTCCTTCATAGTCATAGACTCAGTAGGGACTTAAAATAAACTCCATTCTGTTCAATTGGTGGGATGAGAATCTTGTGAACCTACAAGGGTCATGGGAGAGTGATTTAGGTGTGGTCCGCAGTATATTGAGTCGACAGGGCATGACCATCTTTTGTCTATACATCTTTCTATCTTCTAGCACATAATACAGTGCGAAGCATCTTTACTAGTATCTAAATTAATGCAGGCTTATGTCCTTAGTACAGCGCTATATGGAGCAGAAGTCTGGTGGCCAGGACTCACCCGAATCACAACTCAGCAGGGAAAAAAGGCTGGTACAGGAGTAGGCTGCCACAACAATCTCCTTGACGGCACAATCTTGAAGGCAGTTCGAGCGGAGCTACCGGTGTGGCGAGCTACTCCAACTGTAGCGCTACACAGAGAGTCTGGCATCCCCCCATCTGCTGTTATCTTACAGCAGAGAAAAATGCTAGCGGCTTCACGGATTCAGAGGTTGGACGCATGGCATCCGATCGTATCCAGATCTAGAGAGGGTCCAAAGGATACAAAAAGCCGCCTCTGCCTCCGTTTAGGTCAGAAGAACCGGTCATTCAAGTTCCCAGAACGGTACCTCACGCGACTTCAGATCAGCGCCAAAAATGTGCTGATGGCCGAAGAGCCCGGCAAATTATACTTCCTACAAGTCGAATGCATCAGAAAAATCACTGGAAGTGACTTTCAGGACGAAGCAGCTTACGCTAAGCAATGGATAGCCAGCCTGTCGGCCGAGACAGTTTGCGCTTATTTAGACGGCTCATTATGTGTACCAGCAAGGTCGGCATAGGGATATACCTTATACAGAGGAGGCCAGGTGATTGGGAGTGACTCTGGTCCATTGCTGGGAGCGGAGGCTTACGATGCCGAAATCTTTGGGGCCCAAAAAGCCCTAGAAGGAGCCGTAGGAAAAGCAGGCAACTCCCCGATAAAAGTGCTGCTCGACAACTCCACAGTCGTGAGGGCTCTAAGAACCGGCCAAACGAAATCTTCCCAGGCTGCAGTGGAAATATTCACAAGACTGGCACGACAAGCCAGATCAGTTGATATCAGTTGAGATCCGATGGATACCAGCCCATGCTGGGATCACGGGAATAAAGATTCAGACAGACTGGCCAAGGAAGTCCTCGGGAACCTACTGGATGAAACGGACACATCTCCCTCAGGAAAGAGGGACAGAACTAAATACACTTTCGCAGACCTTACTCTGTTTGTCAGGCAAAGATGCGAAGAAGCAGTGGAATCCTGGTGGCTAGATAATAGACCGAGCCGCTACGAAGAATTGGATCTCCAGATGAAACGAAAACGTCCACTGGAGCTAGCACTTCCGAGGTGGGCGCATCACCGCCTTATCGCAGCAAGGATGGGACATGGCGATTTCAGAAAATACCATGAAAGATTTGGCCACGAATTTGAAAACTGTAAATGCGTGTGCGGAAGAGAGAAACGTCCTTGACATTTTGCCGAATGCCGGATTGCTCTACAGCAATGGAGAAACTTGAAGCTTGAACCACCACCGAGAGGACGAGAGATGCTGGCAGAAAAGGGTTGGGAAAGATTTCTCCAGTTCTTAACAGTAAATAAGTGTTACGAGAGGCAAATACCACACCGGGAGGATTAAGTCCTGCCGAAAGGGAAGTTTTTCAGGACAAAGGGTTGTGAGGAAGGAGGAAAGGCGCAGGGCGCTTAATTTTCTTGGAATTAATTTATTATTTATGTTTTGCGTATAGATTTGACAAGCAAAATTTGTACTTAGGTTGTAGTGTATCCCGAGGTAGCATAAACTCGTATCACGCCAATGGGGTGTAGGGCGTAAGTCTGATACGAAATAAATTCAAATCAAATCGACAGGAGATGAAACAAATCTTGTCCTGAATTTCAAGGCTCAGAATAAGCGCATAACTTGATTTCTTTTCACTGTCAGTTTTATGCAAGTCCACCTCATTCATTTCTGAATCCTTTGCCACCACCTCTCCATCCGCAGACCGCTGAAAGACTGTACAGCTCTTTTCATCTTATACTTGACTGATAATAAGAATTAGATTTCTCAAGAACAGAGTTGTTTGTTCGGCAGATAAATGGCTTCGCTCGTTACAAAACTTAATTTGCTGATGAATCTACCTCAGGTCCCACCTTCAACACCCCTATCCTAACAATTATTCAGAGATCATAACATTTTAGTAAGTCGAAAAATTAAATTATAACTAATTTAAATTGATGGAATATATTAAGATTTATGGGTGTTGGTATGACAAAGGTCATACACTACAAGCCAATAGGTTCACTTGAAGTTATGAGAGTACTGCAGTACGTAATGAGAACAATTGTTCGATTGGGTTCGATTGATTATGTATATCTCTCCCCTAAACTATAGCCACGAAGTTGGTATCTATCCTCGGATAATAGTTTACCCGATATAAAAGAATTACAAAGAGAACTGTTATACATCATGCAGGGACCACCAACTCCAAACCCAAGATAGACTCAACCGAATTAATCGTTCCGACACTGGCAATCTCTTCTTTTGTGGGTTAAGTCATCAGATCAATACCGAGCAGCCAAAAGAAAATCATATCCTCTAAGTCTCCAAACTCCTTTTAACCCACCCTTGGACTCGCATCGTAAGTTTGTTATCGTTGATTAGTGTTTCTAATGCACAATTTGGGTTTGATTTTGTCATCGCATCAGCCGGGTTATCCGCACCGTGAATCCATCGAATGTCAGAAATTTCATGATTTTCGTACGCCTGGCGAAGGGCCATGATATCAATCATGAGTCTCTTTTCCTTCGTTGACCCGAGCTTGACCAGACATTCATATAACGAGAAGGAATCCGTACAGACAACAACCGGGATTGAAGGTACACCAAGCTGCGCCACAATATTGCAAATCGTCGTATTGATAGCAACAGTGACATCGACACCGTTAGACATTGCATATATTTCTGAGGCGAGAATGCTTCTTGTCACCCTTTTGCATTTTGTTGAAGACCAGTGTAGGATATTACCATTAATTGTGAAAGAGTCGTTTCCTGCTTCTTCATTAGCTAGGACAATGACATAGCCGATTTGTGAGCTTAGATCTCTATTGTTGGCGAAAGATCCGTCGACAAAAACGAAGAGACGCATTGAGTCTATGTCGAGCGGGATATACGTCAGTCCGCGGCTAACATTCTTGATCTGCCAACTAATACGCTTGTTCAACCTGGCAATATCTTCTTTTAGAGGTTCCTTGTATTGAGCTGCCGCAGATAAATCAAAGCTGGCTTCAGGTTGACAAATTGTAGCAAGGTATGCACCCCGAGCGCGTTGTTCAACGTATTCGTGAGTATTCGAGACGAGTTTCAGCTTTTCACCTTGGTTCTTCTGTTTTAGTAAGAGGATATCGTTCGGCTGCCTTGACAGAATACAGCCATTAAACATCAATGGGTTATTCTCATCAAGAAATTGCTTTTCTTTCGCTTTGAAGTTGGCCTTATGAAGTTCATCTTCCTCTTGCTTTGCAAACGCCGCGTCCGTCATACCCAATGTATCATCAGTTTGCATTCCGACAACGCCAAAATATCTAGAACTTTTGGTTGTCATTAACAAGCATGGGTCATATGTTGAAGTTGTCATGTGTAGTTTTTCACAGTGATGCTTAAAATATGTAGCCCACCAATGAGCTCCAGCCTCTGCTATCCCGTAGAGTGGTTTGATGACGACCATAATAGTGTTATCTGGGTAGTAACCACGAATTTGCTCGGGTGGATATGCTAGAATAGTTCTTTGAAGTTTAGTTTGTGATTGCACATATGCTTGTGTGATATCACGAAGCCAAAGGTGCATGCCACGTTTGATCATTGATGGTGCTAGGGCCATAATAATTCGTTGACTAGCCCGCTGTATAGTTGGGCTTTGGGTTAGTACTGTTTTCTTTCCCTCATCATTGTAACCTTGGACTACTAGGCGTGATTTTTCATACGGGGTCTCAGTAAGCTTTCCTTTAATTTCGCGTACTATGCGAGACTTGAAGATTCGTATTTCACGGTGTTTTTGAGGGTCGAATTTTTCAAAGCGAAAGACGCCGCGCCCGATGAGAGATTCAATCTCTAGGCGATCTGACTCTTCAAATGGCTTGCCAGGGGTGGTTATTTTTCCTTCTCGACGTAGCCTGAGTGCCAAGGCTGCATCATGCTTCTCTTTTTCTGACATCCAAGTTGTGTAGGGGGTATTTTCTATGGCTATTTGCTTTGGAATATTCTTCGATCCTCTTGGACGTCCACGCTTACGTTTTTCGGTTTCCTTTTGCAGTGGTTCCTCATAGTCGTCATTGTCAGGCTCGTGACTCTGGGGTTCAGTGATTGGGTCATCGATATTTAGAGGATCAGGGATTATTGTGCTCTCATTGCGGTAGTAAGGTTTCACGGAG